CAAACAAGCCCAGACTGTGAAGATTAAAATAAATACCTAACTCTTCAATGCCCAGACACTGAGAATCATCCATGCATCAAGAACATCCAGGAAGATATGACCTCACCAAACGAACTAGTGACCAATCCTGGAGTGATAGAGATAGGTGACCTTTCAGACAAAGAATTCAAAATAGCTGTCCTGAAAAAGCTTATGAACTTCAAGATAACACAGAGAAAGAATTCAGAAGCCTATTAGAGAAATCTAACAAAGAGATCGAAATGAAAAAAAAAGCAGAAAATCTAGAGCTTAATAATTCAACTGACAAACTAATATATCAGTCTCTCAACAGCAGAATTGATCAAGCAGCAGAAAGAATTAGTGAGCCTGAAGACAAACCATTTAAACATATACAGTCAGAAGAGAAAAAAAATAAGATGAAGCATGCTTACAAGATCTAGAAAATAGCCTCAAAAGAACAAATCTAAGAGTTATTGTCCTTAAAGAGGAGGTAGAGAGAGAGACAGGGGTAGAAAGTATATTCGAACAGTTAATGTCTTTGCAGAGCAATCCTTAACTCACTTGAACTCCCACTGTCAATCCCAGAGGCATATCCAACCGTGAGTATTTGAAAGTGTCTTTGCTATAATCACTGTTTTATGTTAACCAATGATATTTAGAAATCCAAATTCTCTCAGAAATAATTTGAAACTGCCATAACTGCAGCAACCTCCTAGTTTTTATTCTTTAATTCTACTCAACAAAGCTGGAAAGAGTCTGCTTTATCAATGAATATCATGGAGCTCTAAAAAAGAATGTAGTAAAAAGAACTGATCCACAGTTCATTATAGATGAATAGCATTTTTTAAAAGCTGCTTGAATTATTAGATATAATTCACATACTACAACAGTCACACTTTTACAATTTACAATTCAGTGGTTTTTTAGTATGTTCACAAGATTATGCAGCCATCACCATTATCTATTTCAAGAACAATTTCATTACCTTAAAAAAAAACCTATACTCATTAGCAGTCACTTCCCATTCTCTCCTCCCTACAGCCTCTGACAACCACTAATCTATTTTCTGTCTCTATGGATTTGCCTATTCCAGACATTTCATATAAATGGAATCGCACAATTTGTGACTTTTTGAATCTGCCTTCTTTCATAATGTTTTCAAGATTCATCAAGGTATAACATGTATCAGTAATTTACTTATTTTTATGGTATGGATATACCATATTTTGTTTATCTATGAATAATTTTTGCGACCTTTGTTAATTAGCTCTCAGGTTTACTCAAGATTGAACTCAGGACACAATATATTATTCACACACTAATCTCTTGGCCCACAACACTGATTATCACTTTTTGTCGATTTATAAATCATCTTACACATTATAATCTTCATTGTACTATGTGTCTTGTGAGTATTTTGGTAAATATAGTACTTCTTGGCCTTTCCACTTAGCACCCTTTTTCTAGAAACTGTCCCATTCATTCCAACACTTCTATATGGTTAATGTGACCTTGCTCCTGTCTACAGGTGATTGGTCCATAAATGAACACCCCTGGTGACTGTGCCAGGAACGGGCACCTGATTTAAGCTGGACCACTTAGGTTCTGCCCTGGGGATGTGGAATTGGCAGCAAGACTCTATTTGTAAATAGCTGCTCTCAGGATTATAGGAGCTATAATCTCAGGAGCTTTTGGCATTTACCATTATCTGCTATGTAGACTAAGAAACTGAGAAAACTGGTCTGCAAGAAGAGAAGAATGAATATGAGAGAGAGAGTAGCAGAAATAAGAGATGGAGTGAGAACTCCTAGATTCCCTATGGTGTTCTAGTCCCTGATTCCAGGCCATTCCTAAGACCCAGCTATAACGTCTCTGCCTTTGGGTTCCATGGAACATCCTACACACTTATAATAAATCCCTCTTGCTGCTTAAGCTAGTTGAAAAGGTTTCTGCTATCTCCAATAGTCCTAAAATAATTATCTATCAACAAGATTTTAAAGTCCTTATTAGCAAGAGCTCAATCTCCACAGCACTCATTATCCAAACACATACTTATTTAAATTACTACCTGTGGTAAATAATCTATGTGTTGTAGATAATCTAGAAAATTATCTACAAAAAATATTCAAGACATTCTTAAATGAGTATGTATAAAAATATTAAGATTTGTGTCCAGGCCGGGTGTGGTGGCTCATGTCTGTAATCTTAGCACTCTGGGAGGGTGAGACAGGGGGATTGCTTGACCTCAGGAGTTTGAGACCAGCCTGAGGAAGAGCAAGACGCCATCTCTACTAAAAACAGAAAAATTTTCTGGGCATCCTGGTGTGCGCCTGTAGTCCCAGATACCTGAAAGGCTGAGGCAGAAGTATCGCTTGAGCCCAGGAGTTTGAGGTTGCTGTGAGCTAGGCTGATGCCATTGCACTTACCAGGCAACAGAGTAAGACTGCCTCAAAAAAAATAAAGACTTGTGTCCATTTTATAAAAAAGCTGTATCATTATATCACCAACTCAATATATCTTTGTACCCATTTTATAAAAAAGTCATTTCTTTTCCTCAGAAAGTAAGCTTCTTTTTGTATTACATATCTACATGTCCATTTGCACTTGCTTGGTAAATGTTTTTAAGTCTTTAAAAAAACAAAGTGTTATGATTTTCCTAAGATTTGAAATTTCTTGAAAACAAGTAAACTTCTATTTCCTTTTTAAGAAAACTTTCACAAAACCCAATAAAGAAAAGCATTTGGCATAAAGACATATAAATGAGTAGCTATCATCCTTGAATTCATTTTTTCCTCCTGTAAATAGGATATATTGTCAAGCACTAATAATTCCCATAAGGATAACTTATGTGTAATTCAAGAACACCACACATATTTATTATTATTATACAATGTATTCTGGGTAGGTGACAAAACACTCCTTAACTGGCTGCATAGGAAATGCAGTTTTAGTAAGCTTGCCTGCTCTGCCTCCCAGTCTATGGCATTGCCACCATCACTGATCTCTGCAATGTTAATTTCCTCAGGTTCCTGGGAGTCTTCACTTTCTTAGTCCTCTTCCCAAAATCAAATCCAGGATCTGTCACCTATCTGGTTCTTAGTGGGGATAACAGACATAAAACCAAAAATCCAAATATTTTCTTAAATCCCTATTAAAAATTCTATAGGGATAAATAGGCTAATCCTTCAAAGTCTAACACTTGATTCCTGAGTGGATTTTGTATCATGCTGTTTAATGGACCTTTCCTAAGAGATACTAAAATTTTTAAAATTATACTTCTAATATTACAAAGTTTTAAAGAGCCAGAATCCCCTTTAAATTACTGAAGCATTCTAATTGGGTATAATTCCCTACTATATTTAGCACTGGGACAGTTTCTGATGGTGTTGACCCCAAATTTTCTTCTGTGGCTAGAGGGAAACTATGCTGGCCACAGCCCTCAGAGACAAAGTGCTGCTTATTTACTCCTGCCCCTCCCCCTCTTCACTCACGCTTCTAAGTTTAAACAATGGTTCACACTACAATTTGCAGACCCAAAACTGTTAAGATAGAAAGGGACTTTAAAATCTACCTTAACCTAATTATTTTACAAATGAAAAAATAAGGTGGATAAGCGATATAAAAGACTTTCCCAGATTCAGAGTAAGTTGGTAAAACCAGCATATTTAGAATAAGGGTACCCAGACTCCAAGTGGAAGCTCATTTCACTATACCATCTACCTAAATTGTATAAGAATGGACAGTACTGAAATTCCTCTGCTTTCTAAGAGAAAAACAAAACAAAACAAAAAACTACAATTTTCTGCTTTTAAAAGTGAGACAGAGTGAGAGGTAGAGGTATTATATCTCATTTCAGAGGTAAATAATTTTTTTCTTAAATATCATTCCATAGTTCAGGTTTTAAAAATTGTCCCTGAGGTTTGAAAGTCATAGATGGGCTTGCTCTGGAGGCTAAGTGAAATGAAACTGAAATACCAGATATTCCTTGCAAACTGAAGGTTCTTCACCATAGTGAACTATATGTCAGCTATTGATTTTGTGGGCCAAAGCTATTCCCACTCCCCCTGTCCATTAAAAAGGTCTATAGTCCTTTGGACAGAAGGATGGGCACGGTGTCCTAAGCCTGGCTAATCAAGTATCTCAGGACTCTGGCAAGGGTCTGAACTGTTCTGAGTAGGGCCAACCAGAATCCTTACCTAGAACTGTGTATGTCACAGAAGCTGAGAAAAATAAACTCCCTCCCTGTTTCCCAAAGTGTGGAGAAGGCTGTCTGCAGGAGAGCCTGAGGCCAACATTCAAACAGAAATAGAGATAAGTAGAGGTGAGAGGTGGAAAGAGAGTCTAGCAGTGTCAAATCCTTGGTTCTCATTCCTGAGCTGGTTCCTTTGATCTTGCAAGTTAACCCTGTATCTTTAACAAGTAGAAGCCAGAAGATTCTTTTTTTGCTTCAAATAGTTTAAATTTGATTTCTGGCACTTGTAGCTCAAATATCCTAATCTATATTTACCCCAGGAGAGAAGACCAGATATACATTGCCCTTAATACAGGAAAATCAATAAATTTTTGTTAAAACTTTTTTTCTTTTTAATTGGATGCCTTTCAGACAGGCTCTACTGTCTCTTGTCTCTAGCACTTCCAATAATCTATACCCACCAAATTCACTGTTTCCATTATAAGGCACCCAAAATTATGAGCTTGCCAATGCTTTCCTTGGATGTCTCTAGAATTTTTAAAAATCCTCATATAAGCTTGTTTCATTTGATTTCCAATAAAAGTTGAATATAAGATATATTCCAGGTATTACAAGTTAAATGAGATTTTACTTTATATAGAATATCAAAAAGATAGTCTAGGTATCAACATTACAGTATGCTAGGAGACAAAATTTCAAAATATAAAGCAAATCTAACAAAGATATGACTACTTCAATATAATTTAGTAGTATGTTTTTTACTTTATAACAATGGAAATCAATAACAACAATAAATCTCAGGACTTACCTCCAATAAGGCTACAGTTTGGAAGAATTTCAAAGGCTTTTCAATTGAATAATAAAGGCTATGGTAGCTACCCTTAGCCAGGTATGCTCTGACCAGACCAACAGCTATAACCAGCCACCTAAAAAAAAAAAAAGAGTAATGGGGTGAGAAATGAGGTTGTAATAACAGATATTGCTAAAGGCAGATCTCAAGAATCAGTATCCTGGATTACTGATGGTAGTTCTCAAATACTAAGCTGTAATACACAGGAATGTTGCACTACCAAAAGCACCCTACCAAGAGTGCTCAGCAAAAAGCACAGTGGCACCTCACCCATCTGGAGCTTGTTTTTTTTTTTTTTTTTTGGCAAACTTGTCTATTGAGAAGGCCAAAATGAAGAAAATAAGCTAAAATGGTCTTTGCGCAGCTAAATTAGGTGCCAGAAAGTCTAAGATGAGAAAAAAAAAAACCAAAAAAACTGGTTAAGGGAAAAATTTAAATGGCCTGTGCAGTTCACAGGTCTTTAATAATAATAGAGTGATGTTTTAAACTATTTTTATAAGTGCCTCACGGGAACATATTCATATCTTAAAATCTATGCTTTTCAATTAAAAAATTAAATTCAAATTTCAATTCAAAATTGCAAATGAAATAAACATACAAAAAAAATTTTTTTTAAGAATAAAAGTTTTTTAGCTGAATCTCCCGAAAGCAGCTCAGAAAGGAAAGCCAGATATACATAAACCATAAAACAGGGAAGCACTTAAGCATACAGCTGTGAACGTTACATTTCTGTTCCACTCTCCTTCTCCAAATAAGTGTCAGGTCTTATAATTTTTAATTTCTTAAGTTCCATGGTGAAACAAATGGATCTTTATCATGAAGGTATGTCTCCTGGACCGCAGTAATAGATTGATCTAAATGTACAATCTCTACTAGTCAAAGGGATATGTGGTCTATGTTATTAATATTTCTAAAAACTATCATAGAAGGACATCAAATAAGAAATGTATTCCTTAATGGTGCAACTGGTCCAGCATTAGCAGCCTGGAAGAAAGCTTACTTTGCTCTTATAACCACAACTTCACTTTCTGGTTTAAGATATCACTCTTTACCATCTATCCCATGTGTATGTTCATTGCCCAGGAACAGACTTCTTGTTATCAACACGCCTGAAAATACCTCTCCAATCCAATGCTCTCATCAATGCCCTTGCTAAGACAAAAATTTTATATGTAAACGCACACACATGGATTCGTGAGTGCTCTTTTAAAAATCAATGTGACCATTTATGTGATAAGGAAAACTTGTATCTGTAATAGCTCTTCACTGGCCTGTGAGTCAAGAGAAATGATTTCTAGATCCAGAGCTTCCTTTTATTAACAAGTTCCATGATCTCAAGCAAGTCACAACTTCTCTGACCCTAGGTTTCAACATCTATCATTTCTAATTCTAGCAATAAGCCTATGATCTGCCCAGGATATATTTATTTTCACACACACACACAAGAAAGGTGCTGAACTGTAAATATACATTAGCATTTGTGCTTTTAAAAAAAAAGGGGGAAGTGTATATACATACTTGCTTGTAACAGCATCTTAAGCATACACAAAATTGGTTGCCTCAATGGAGGGGATCTGGGTAGAAGGGAAAGGTGGGGGGAAGGATTTTCACTGTATGCTCTTGGGTATATTTTGAATTTTGAACCCTGCCAATGTATTACCTACTTCAAATAAAACTGGATGTTCACTATACAATTCTTTCAACTTTCTCATATGTTTGAAATTATTCATAATAAAATGTTAAGGAAAATTTTTTTTTTTTTTTAACAAATGAGTACAATTTAAAAATATAGAACAGGCCAATACAATGGCTCATGCCTGTAACCCCAGTACTTTGGGAGGCCAAGGTAGGAGGATTGCTTGAGGTCAGGAGTTCAAGACCACACTGGGCAACATAGTGAGACCTCCTCTCCACAAAAAAATTTTAAAAATTAGCCAAGTGTGGCAGTGTCCAACTGTCTTCTTAGCTACTGAGGAGGCTGAGGGAGGAGGATTGTTTGAGCCTAGGAGATGGAGGCCGCAGTGAGCTGTGATTGCACCATTGTATTGCAACCTGGGTGACAAAGCAAGACTCTGTATCTAAAAATCTATATATTAATAAAATTTAAAAAATACACAACAAATAATCTGATACTGTGATCCTCCTCACCAAACCACAGGATAAAGAATTGCAGAGCTGGAGGAACCATCAAGATCACCTAGCCCAACTCATTAGTTTTATAGGTGAAAAAACGGAGGCCTAGAACAATAAGACAATTTGTGGAAAGTCACACAGCCAGTGTCAGAACTAAAAACCCGCTGTGATAAGGTATGGACTGAAATGAGGGAGACACAAGATGGGTAAAACCTGTTTGGAGAGTCTGTACTTCCCCAGTAACTCTACCTTCCGCTCCTAAGTTTCTTCCTCACCTCAACCCATCCTAAAAAGTCTAAACTCAACTAAAGCATGGCTCTGCTCACACCACTGGTCAAAAACTTTGAACGCTTTTCCGATACCTTTCAGATTAAAGCGCAGCCCGGATTTTGAAAACAGCCGCCTAAATGAATGGTCACTCAGCGGCCACAGCTCCCTGTGTGCACAGCTCACCATTCGCGACTGGCCGCCTGGGTTGTGCTCCGCGCCGCAGATGGCCCGGCACGCCGCCCCCACACCTGCCGGGTGGCCACCCACCTTCTCTCCCACAGCCCTCCCGAGCCGGCGCCTCCCTGGAACTTGGCTCTGCCCCCAGCGCAGGCGGGCACCGGCCGGCTCCGCGCTCCGCCGTCCGCAGCGCCCAGGTGCGGGTCCCGGCCGCCGGCCGCTGGGCTGCACTGCGCGCCGCGGGCCGCAGGGCTCCCTCCCGGCCAGGCTGGCTCCCGCCTCCCCGAGCCCCAGCCTCACCCCGCTGTCATCACTACATTGTAGATGACCAGGTACGCCGTGGCCAGAGGCCCCGGGCCCTTCTTCTTCCGCGCGCCGCTGGCTTCGCCGGCCCCAGCCCGGCCACCGCCGCCCCCATTCCCCTTGGTTGCCGCAGTAGCCGCCGCTGCCGCCATATCAAGTGACCGGAGCGCACTCTGCCTGCGCGAGCACCTCGGCCGGACTCGGCCAAGCGACTGGGCGGAGGGAGGGACGAAGGAGAGGCGGGGCGGGGCCGCGGGGCGGAGCCGGGGACAGCGCCCACGGCGGCCGCCATCTTGGGTGAGGGCGCAGACGCTCCTGGCGCTCGAGTCCTTCGGCTCGCCTCAATAGCCGCTGCCATCTTGGATTAGGGTAATCCCCGCCTCTTGTGCGCTAGGGTAGCGACCTCCGGCGCCATCTTGAATTGAGGCAATGTGCTGTTTGACCGCGCTAGCCGGGTCTGCTGTTTGTGCCAGCTAGATACTTCGTCGTCCCTGGCTGTTCTGTCTCCTATAACCACGGCCTCGATGTTGGATCAAAACAATTATATTTTCGTACTTCCTTCTCCAATGGTCCTATCCTCACCTTTAAACACTTCCACCCGAGTATCCTGCCATTTTGGATTAGGGCAGTTGACGCCGTCTTCGCTTCCCTGGTCCTTTGCATGGTGGGCTTTGCTCCTTAGCCGTTCCCGGGTTGGAGGTTCTTCTCTGCCTTTTGATTTTAAGGTACTGTTACAGTGGAGAAGTCCCTGTGGCCTAAAATGCAAAGTCGTCCGTGAGGGCTGGACGGGTGTTCTAGCGCATCTTCCTTCCCGAAGCCACTTGGGCTCGCCCGTGGCGTGGGCGGGACGGGAGATGAGATGAGGCGGTCAGCTGAGGGTGAGGTGCTGGGTAAGGGAGCAGGTTTATAAGCACGATGACGAAAAATAGCATGTTGGCTTAGGTGGAAAGCCTGTCTGCTGTGAGGGAATCTGCTGACCCCACTTTCCACTCATTATTTTGTTCCCGGGGTTTCTTTATTTGTAAAAGTCTCCTACCGTCGATTTTCACACACCCAAGCATCTCCTTAAATGAATACTGAAATATTTATGTATTTATTCCAACAAGTATTCATGGGACTTCTACAAAGTTGCACTGGGATCCACGGCATTAAATGAAAGAGACAAAATCCTAGGTCTCCCAGAGATTATATAGATTTCCTGCCAGAGGAAAATGGATATCAGTTGGTGGAACATGTTATCAGGAAGTTATCACAATAGTACAGGCCATGGTTGATAGCGATTTGAGCCAGAGTGCTAGCAATTGAGGTGATGAAAACCAATTGAATTCTGGACATGTTTTAGAAGTAGAATCTCATAAGATTTGTAGGTAAATTAGATATGAAGTGTGAAAGAAAAGGCATTGTGAGCAACTTGGAAGAATTAAGTTGTAAAAGAAGTAATTTTGAAGGTGGAAGTCAGTAATTTTGTTTTTTACATTTTGAGTTTGAAATCCTTGTTAGATATCCAAGTGGAGAGGTTGAATAGACCATTAGGTTTTAGGCTCTGAGGTTCAGGGAAGAAATGTGGGCTGGAGAGTCCTCAAAATGGTATTTAAAGGCATGAGACCTGGAGGGAAGAAGTGAGATATAGCAACTGAACAATTGTGGGGGTCCCATCCTTTTACTGCCTTCACAGATCATTGCCTTCTGTTGCCTTATTTTCCTAACTTTTTAAAAGAGCATGTTGGTGGGCCAAAATTGCAGACTGTGATGAGAGAAAAAAAATTTTTTGGCAAAAGAAACAAAGAAGTGAACCATTTTGTAAAACCAAATAATCATTCATGTAAAAGCTTTCATTAATTTGACTGATTTTTTTTTTCAATCAAATCTACTTAATGGGAAAGTAGGAGGAGTTAGGAAGGCATAAAGTTCTGCCATTTTGGAAATCAATTTAAAACTCAATATATCTTTTTGCAGTCACTTAGGTCCAACTCCAATCTATTTTCTCTGCCATATAAGTAACATTCTGGAGATTAGGATATGGATGTATTTGGGAGTAGGAGGGATATCATTAACCCTACAGAAACTCCTCCACTGCCCCCCAAAACATACAGAAAACAAAAATCCCCAAACCTTTAAAAATGACATTCTTTTTATATCATTGCTGAACTTGAAGGAAAGTAAAGGATGTCTCCAAGGTGGGAGCCAGAAGTGGAGAGAGGACTTGTAATGGTGTTGGTAAAGAACATCAGACTGGAGCCAGAATAATGATCAGTTAGTAAACACAAAAGCCAGGTTTGCTCTGAGGACAAATGCTAATACCAGTGCTAGGATTGAGAAACTAAGCCTGGAGTCCATGGCTGCATGGGTAAGTTGAACCTCTAGGATCCTTGAAGGGGGCACTAAAGTGGTCCAGATGCCATCTGGCTTTTAGCAGAGTGTGTTAAAATCCTTCTGAGGGAAAGTGTCCCAAATGTAGACCCTTAGAATTTCCATTGATTAGGTCAATAATATATAAACTCATAATAAAAAAAAATTAGCCCAGCTTGAGCAACATAGCAAGATGCCCATGTCTAAAAAAGAATAAAAAAAAAATGCCAGGCATGGTGGTACATTGCTATAGTTCTAGCTAATTGGGAGGCTGAGGTGGAAGGATCACTTGAGCCCAAGATTTTGAGGTTACAGTGAGCTATGATCCTGCCACTGCACTGCAGCCTAGGCCACAGAGTAAGACCCTGTCTATAAAAAAAAAATTAAAATTAAAAAAATTATCAAATATACTGGGAGATAAGATAAGCCACAACGAGTCAGTCAGCAGAAAGAAAAAAAAATGATTTAGTCCTCAGGAACTTCATATATTGGAATTATCAGATAGAGAATATCAAATAAGCATTATGAAATATTTTAAAAATAAAAGGTGAGGCCGGGCGCTGTGGCTCACGCCTGTAATCCTAGCTCTTGGGAGGCCGAGGCGGGCGGATTGCTCAAGGTCAGGAGTTCAAAACCAGCCTGAGCAAGAGCGAGACCCCGTCTCTACTATAAATAGAAAGAAATTAATTGGCCAACTGATATATATATAAAAAAATTAGCCGGGCATGGTGGCACATGCCTGTAGTCCCAGCTACTCGGGAGGCTGAGGCAGAAGGATCACTAGAGCCCAGGAGTTTGAGGTTGCTGTGAGCTAGGCTGACGCCACGGCACTCACTCTAGCCTGGACAACAAAGCGAGACTCTGTCTCAAAAAAAAAAAAATAAATAAATAAAAATAAAAGGTGAAATAAATATTTTTGTCCACACAGAAACCTGCACATGAATGTTTATAATTGTCAGCTTTATTCATAATTGTTAAAATTTAGAAGCAACCAAGACGTTCTTTAATAAATGAATAGGTAAAGAAACTGTGTTTCATATAGACAATGGAATATTATTCAGTGATAAAAAGAAGTGAGCTATCAAGCCATGAAAGGAGGACCTTAACTGCACATTGCTAAGTGAAAGAAGCCAGTTGGAAAGGCTATATATGGTGTAATTCCAACTATATCACATTCTGGAAAATGTCATATAGTTGGAATTACACAGTGTAGAGACCATAGAGACATATAGAGACCATAGAAAGATCAGTGGTTACCATGGGCTTGAGAGGATGAATAACTGGAGCCTAGGAGATTTTTAGGGCAGTGAAACTATAAAATATGTTCTGCAATGACAGATACATGGCATTATGTATTACTGTCAAAACCTACATAAGCAAGAAACAAGAGACTATTAAAAATTACCAGCAGATTTGAAAGATTCTTGTATTGTTCAGGAAGATGAAAAAGATACTGATTAATATTAGACTTTGATGAGTTAAATATTCACGTTGTAATGTCTATGTAATCATTAGAAGTATACAAAATGTTTAATTTCCAGATAATTAGAGAGGGAAGAATTAATTGATTTTAAAAATTATACATCCAGGCTGGGCATGGTGCCTCATGCCTGTATTCTTAGTACTTTGGAAGGCTGGAGCAGGAGGATTGCTTGAGGCCAGGAGTTCAAGAGCAACCTGAACAATATAGCAAGACCTCATCTCTACAAAAAATAAAAAAATTAACCAGGCATGGTGGCATGCACCTGTAGTCCCAGCTACTTTGGGTTGCTGAGGCAGGAGAATCACTTGAGCCTAGAAGTTTGAGGTTACAGTGAGCTGTGGTGATGCCACTGTACTCTGGCCCAGACAACAGAGCGAGACCCTGTCTGTAAATAAATAAATAAATAAAATCCAAAAAAGGCAAGAAAGGAGAGGAGGGTGGGGGAAAGAAACAGAATAGAGGGACCAATTAAAAACACAAGTAAGAAGATACATTTGAACCCAAATGTATTCGTAGTTGCATTAAGGGTAAATGTACTAAATACTTCAGTTAAATAGCAAAGATTATTGTCTCAAGAAATAAAACAACAACAACAACTATATGCTGCTTAGAGGAGGGCACTTGTATAACATAAGAATATAGAAATTCTGAAACTAAAATTATAGAAAGGATATACCATGAAAATATTACCCAAAAGAAAGCTGGTATGGTAGGCAGGATAACGCACCCTGTCACAGAGAGATGTCCATATCCTAATTCCAAGGACTTGGGAATATGTTATCTTTGGCAAAAGGAATTTTGCAGATGTGGTTAAGTCAAGGACCTTGAGATGAGGGGATCGTCTGAGTTATCTTTGGTGGGCCCAAAGGTATCACAAGCCTCTTTAAAAGTGAAAGAAGGAGGCAGAAAAAGAGAATATCAGTCAGAGGGACATGTGACTACGAAAGAAATGCAGAGAGTACAATGTTCCTGGCTTTGCAGATGGAGGAAGGGGGCCTTTAGACTCTAGAATAAAGACAAGGACATAGATTCTTCCCTTGGTTTTAGCCCAGTGAGACCTATGTCAGACTTCTGATCCTACAGAACTGTAAGGTAATAAGTTTGTGTTGTTTTAAGCCACTAAGGTTATGGTAATGTATTACAGCAGCAATTAGAAACTAATACAGCTAATATATCTATATTGATATCAGTCAAAAGGCATTACTAGAGATAAAAACTTTCATAATGGTGAAAAGTTCCATTCACCAGGAAAACATAACAATTTTAAATGTGTATGCATAATTACATGGCTTCTGTGGTAATGTTCCAATTCTATGTAAAGAATTATAAAATGTTATTGGATGACATTAAAAAATACCTAAATAAAAGGACAGTTGCTTAGGTCTTGGGTAG